CATTGCATAAAGGGATCATATGACGTTGCTAAAAAGAACATTATTTTGTGTATTTGGTGTAATGCAATGTGTTTATGCGGTTTAAGGTAAAAAACCCCAAAACATTATTTTCCACATACTGTACATTATTGTTTCTCCTCTATGCCCTGCCTTTCTGAAACGCGTAGATTTTTACAAAGCTCATCGGTCTGAAAAGCGAGGTGTTCTCTGATTGGCCAGCTATCCAGTGTGTTGTGATTGGCTGAATACCTCAAGCGTGGGACGGAAATGTTACGCCCCTCACCATACTGTGATGCCATGTCCGGCCGGAGCGACGAGACAAAAACAATAAAACCCATTACAAACGAGGCATTTGTTGCATCAAGTGGGGACATAATTACTGATTATAATGACTTATACTGTCTTTTTACACGTTGCGTTGCGTATCGCACTGCATAAACATAAAACCACGTCTGCATTTGTGATCGGAGAAACGACAAGCAACAAGCACTACTCTACCCTGCTCAAACTCGCGTTTGAATCATCAGTGGCAAATTCTTTAAATATGTAAACGTATACTACAGGCTGTGAGTCAGAAGCACCAGACTGTCCTTGCAAAGTTGGAACTGCCCCACTTTATAGAAACAGCCTTTGTGCACAGAAGCATTGTAGGCTACTGGTTCAGGAAACAGTTCTCGTCCTCCGTAAAATGCGCTGCACACATCTGAATATATGGGTTGAACTGTTCTGGAACAGTGTTGTAAATGCAACTTAACCACTGATTTCTAGTTGTGTCCTCTTTTGGAAGACCAAACAAAGAAGCTTCGCTTTCACAACGAAACACACAGCGTCTCCGCGACATGGCAGCGGCGGCAGCAACAATACTACAGCAAGAATAAAAGTTACGCATTCTTTCTTTGCGTGAACATTTGGGCGGCGTTATGCAAATCTTTCCACATAGTGACGTAGACATGTGGGGGCATGTTAGAACGAGGCCTTTTAGGAGGGCGTGGACAAGTCTTAACTTTTATAAAGAATATCTCTTTGGATTTGAGACTTTAGTCTTTGCAACTTTACAGATCTTCTTTATGCACCAAGAGCTCGTAATACTCCAAAGAGAAAGGAAAAATTGAAATCCCTGGTCAAGACCATCTGCTAAAGTTCATCAGAATGGGGAAGAAAGGTGATTTATGTGGCTTTGAACATGGCATGGTTGTTGGCGCCAGACAGGCTGATCTGAGTATTTTAGAAACTGCTGATGTACTGGGACTTTCATGCACAACCATCTCTAGGGTTTACAGAGAATTGTCCAAAAACAGAAAATATCCAGTGTGTTAAGAATTTGGTGTAAACAACATGAAAGCATTGATCCATCCTGCTTTGTATCAACGGCTCAGGCTGGTGGTGTAATTGGAATATTTTCTTGGAACACTTTGGCCCCCTTACTACCTATTGGGCATTGTTTAAACACCACAGCCTACCTGAGGATTATTGCTCACCATTTTGTGATGGCTACTTCCAGCAGGATAACATGCCATGTCGCAAAGCTCAAGTAATCTCAAACTGGTTTCTATAATTGCTGAGAACTTTATTCACTCACTTGTATAATGGTGTGTACACCAAAAGCGAAGCGAATATTCACATCACGTTACTTGCTCTAGACTAACTGAGACTTGTCATGGCACTTGTACACTGTTGTTCTCTCGTTGGTCTGATTGCTTCTATTGTTCTCATTTGTAAGTCGCTTTGGATAAAAGTGTCTGCTAAATGATTAAATGTAATGTAAATGTAAGTGATTGTTTATTCTGTCTCTACCAGCCTTTGGTGGGTCAGCCTCTGAGCCGGCAACTTATTCTAAATAGTGAAGAGCTACTAAGAGCCAGCTATCTGCTCAGGGAGTGCTCATTGCTCACTTTGTGTGTCGTTCATTTATTCAAGACTTTTCCTACATCATACTTAATTACACAAAAGTCTTTCTGAAAGTAATAATAAATAAATATAAATTCAAAAGCAAAACGTGTGTGCATGAAAATGTGTTTCTTATTTAAAAATTCCATTATCTCTTTAAATCGTTATTGCAATCAATACAAAATGGGCTTAGTGGCAAATTAGTTAATTGTGGTAACTGCATTAAAATATTAACAATTCAAATAATAATCAAAATCATTAAACATATTCATTGCTCTTAATCGTTAACTGGTTCATTGTGATATCTGTTCACAATAATGATTTGAAATAATGTGAACACCATAAAAAGGTCTTATATTTAACAAGTATTTAATCATGTATTTATACATTTATTTTTTTCCAGTTTTTCACCCGAAACAATTTTCTAGTCGATTAAGGGTTATTTGAGCCTTTTTTATGGGGTTGTGGGGGTATACATCTAAAAAGGTTGAAAACCAATGCAATAGAGCACCTTATTCACATCATGAATGTGCAGCCGATAAATCTGCAGCAACTGTGTGATGCTATCATGTTAATATGTACAAAAAAGAAAAGTCACCAATAATGATTAATTAGATGCAGTGATTTTGTTTGGCAACAATTCCTTTAACCCTAATTGATTCAGTAGCTTTTTATTTCTCAAAACACAATCTTGGAAGATGTATCCATTTCCATATTGCAGGATGACAAGGCCAGAATTCATCAGGCTCAATGTGCGAGAGGAAGTCTTTCAGATGTGTTTGAGTAGCACACTCTAATATTTCTTTGGACCACCTGTGCTTTCATTGTGACATTGTTTTGACAATTATGCAACATCACAACATTTATTTCCATGCATCAAAAGTTGCATTAATTTTTGGCCAAGACCTTGTATTGACAATGGGAGAGTCGAACCACTCTGTAAAGTCGATTCCAGCACTTCTTAAAGACTTTCAATAGGGTTAAGCTCAAATCATACATGAAAATGATTCCACATGCTCACTGAACCACTATTTCACAGTTTGAACCCAATAAATCTTGAATTTGTCATCCTGTAATATGGACATGGATACTTCTTTTGACATGGTTGTTTAAGAAATGAAAAGCTACACACAATCAGTTAAGGTAAAAATAATTGTTGCCAAAGATACAACATGGCAAAGTCATATTAATAGCTGCAATAATTCAATCCTAAAGTCTTAAGTATTTGCTTATCTAAATACAAATGGAAACAAATTATTATTTTTTTTGGCTAGGCAGTGTGTAATAGAGTGTGATGTAATTCTTTACTCACTATAGACAGTAACATTGAATCTGATTTCAGTCTCTGTGTTGCCGCTGATGGTCACTTCATAAAGCCCAGAGTGTGTGGTTCTGGTGTTTGTGATGGTCAGAGATCCAGTCTGATGATCCAGCTTCAGTCTGTCTCTGAATCTCCCATCAAGAACAGCATCCTTTATTGAGATCTCATTGGTCGCTTTGTTGATTTTAACTATGAGAGTCTTTTTGGTTCCAAACTTCCACATGATAAGAAGATTGTCTGTCTGTATTTCAGTAACATTAATCTGTAGAGTGACAGAATCTCCCTCCGTCACTGACACTGACTTCACTTTATCTGTATCACCAAACACACCTGAAGAACACCGACAGTTTCTCAGTCACACATATTAATGAGAAGTTTAATAAAATTTCTACTGAAGTTTGCAGTAGTTGTGAAATGATTACAAACTTTGGGAAGGTAGAAAAATAGAAATGGAAAATAATGTAAACAGTGAAAAACATTTACATTTTTATATATATTGTACATTTAAAGCTTTAGAGGAAAGAGTTACAAAAGAAAATAGAACAGTGGGGAAAACGTATTGATGGTGGAACTGAAGCTCATTGGATCTCTACACAAATAACATTTTACTCGAAACTTATAAACAACTTGTACCTTTAAATGAGAATAATTGACTGAATGTACAGTGCTTGGTATCCTAGCCTCAAATTCCTGATTTAACAGGGCATTTAGATAAATGAAACAAATGCACTAAATCGGTTTGTGATATGAAATCACAAATCTAAATCCAGACTGCTGTATATCTCATAGTAATATCTGAGAATAAAAGTAACAAAACACCTTCTGATTGATTAACTGATGTATTATTGATCTGTACTAACTGTAAAAAGTAATATTAGTAACTTACCACCCAGCTGGCAAGAGAAAAGCCAGAAAAAAAACAATGTTTTTTCTTTAAACATGTCCATCCATCAGCTCTGGGGTTTTAAATAGTGTCACTCAAGATGCTGCAAAAGATAATCTGAGAGCGTTGTGGACTGTAGTAAACTCATCTACTTCTGTCTTTGTGTCTCAGCTGAGCTGAGCATGTGTGTAGCGTATTGAGGCTGTAGACCAGTTTCACAACAGGTGTGGGTACAAACAAACAAGGGTAACAAGACTGGGAAACAGGCTGGGATCATGACAATAGCATTAATCTAATAAAAATATAATAAAAAATAAAAATCTAATCTAATAGAAAATAAAGACAAATACATTTAAACTGCAGCAATGAAAATTATGTAATTGTTAATCTATACACATGTAGCATGTTCTGACAGATTACCATTTCAGATCAGAGATTGTTTTGTGACAATGTTGTGACAGCATTTCAATAGCAAGACAGAAGTTAAGCGTGGCACTTTTTTTAGTCAGAAAACCTGAAGGTTGTCTTACCAGTCACTCATTTTGGATTGACAGGTCCTGGTGGCGGGGTTTTGGAGAGAGGAAGTGTGGTTCAAAGCATGGGGCGTGGTGTAATTCATTCTGGAGGAAGGAAATAGTGAACACTCATCAGCTTCATCTGTACTCAACTTTACTTTAGTTAAACTATTTCAGACCACTGAACTGTTGAGGAAAATGATCCATACATTTGTTTTTTGCTGTTTGTGCTGTTGCCGTCTGGTTGGTGAGTTATAGACAAGTTACAATTACAGTTGCATGTTATTTGTGTAAAGATCTAATGAGTTTCAGTTCCATCATTAACAAATGGAGACTTTCTTCCCCCACTGTTCTATTTTCTTTTGTAACTCTTACCACGAAACCAAAGCTTAAAATGTACAGTATAAAGACATATATGTGAATTCTAATATCTGTGTTTCACAACTACGGCAAACTTCAGTAGAAATTGTATTAAACCACATTAATATGTGTGACTGAGAAACTGTCGGTGTTCTTCAGGTGTGTTTGGTGATACAGATAAAGTGAAGTCAGTGTCAGTGACGGAGGGAGATTCTGTCACTCTACAGATTAATGTTACTGAAATACAGACAGACAATCTTCTTATCATGTGGAAGTTTGGAACCAAAAAGACTCTCATAGTTAAAATCAACAAAGCGACCAATGAGATCTCAATAAAGGATGCTGTTCTTGATGGGAGATTCAGAGACAGACTGAAGCTGGATCATCAGACTGGATCTCTGACCATCACAAACACCAGAACCACACACTCTGGAGTTTATGAAGTGACCATCAGCGGCAACACAGAGACTGAAATCAGATTCAATGTTACTGTCTATGGTGAGTAGAGAATTACATCTCTATTCTGTTCTATTATATATTACAGATTTCGGCATATTTATTGTCATAATTAGACCAGTGGTTTTCAAACCCTGGGTTGTGACCCTCAGGTTGGTCAGGAGACTTAAAAATGAGTTGCCAGGATGATTTAATAAAATGTATATGTGCATGTAACAAAGTTCAAGATTTAGGGAAGAAGGAAGCAGGAACCGGAAAACGTAACTTTAATAAGAAAATAAACATAAACAACAAAACAAAAGTAAGCAGTAGCCACCTCACAGCAGCGTATTTGTTTGCGCTCCGGAGAGTTTGGCAGCGTTGAACATTGTAGCCAATCACAGGCATATCTGTTGATTTCTGGAACATAATGGCCAATCAGAGGTGTTTCAGTTAGTCAGAATCCACTCACCACGCAAAATGCCTGAGATTTTTTCGAGCCAAAGCAAAGTTAGTCAGACTGTATCAATAGCATTGCTTTGTTGTATTAAAACAAAACGTGCTATATATTGTGTTTATGACTGTGTGCATGGGAATTGAGACTGTACCCTGCTGAAAAACCAGCATTGCTGGTTTCCAGCATAAGTTGTTTTACATTCTGGGAACAGCATGGGATGCTGGTAGCTGCAAAACAGCACAATACCAGCACTATACCAGCTCTAACCAGTATAAACCAGCCTGGACCAACATGGAATTTATGTTGGATTATGCTAGATTTTTCAGCAGAGTATCCTATCAATGCTAAAGCCAAATGAAATAATTTTTATTCAAACCATGCAAACTGAAAAACAGTATATCATTCATGTTTTTGTGACAACATTGTTTGCCAGTTTAGCAATGTAAAGAATTTGTTTGGATGTATGACTCAGTGGATGGAACTTGGCTCTAATCCAGAGGTTGTGGGTTTGAATCTCACATGGTGTTACTAAAGATCTGCTTCTATATTTATTTGGATTTTCACTTGATTCTCTCATGTTTTCCAGCTCGTCTGCCCATTCCTGTCATTATCAGTGACTCCCCGCAAAATTCTTCATCATCATCTTCATCATCATATTGTTCACTGCTGTGTTCAGTGGTGAATGTGAGTCATGTGACTCTCTCCTGGTACAAAGGAAACAGTTTATTGTCCAGCATCAGTGTGTCTGATCTCAGCATCAGTCTCTCTCTACCTCTGGAGGTGGATTGTCTGGATGATTCCTACAGCTGTGTTGTGGCTTATTCATTCACAAACCAGACCACACATCTCAACAACACTCAATTCTGTCAGCCATGTCCAGGTACATGAGTGGTGACATTAGTATTTATTCACTGAGCTGATCTTTTCCCATTTACTAATTTGATGTATTTTTATTTATTGAATTATTAGTGTATGTGGGTTTTGTTGTTCTTGGATTAAGGATATATTTAATTTTAAATCTTTTTAAGTGAACATTTAATTAAAATAGAGATGATTCGTTAAAATAAAGGTGATAAGGATAAATGTTTGTCTTTTTCTCCAGTGATGAAATAACATTTTCCCAGAGGCAACTATTAAAACTCTTTGTTTCTGTGGGACTCCTGTTTTTTTTATCACTTTGTTGTGATCCAATTTGAAAACTGAAGTGGAAAACCAGTTAGTGGTTAATTCATTTTGCAACTACACTATGCCAGTGGTGCAGAAATAATACACACTTTCAATTATACGAGACAAAAACATTAAAACCCATTACAAACGAAGCATTTGTTGCATCCAGTGGGGACATAATTACTGATTATAATGACTTGTACTGTCTTTTTACTCGTTGCGTATCGCGCTGCGTAAACATAAAACCATGTCTGCATTTGTGATCGGAGAAATGACAAACAACAAGCGCTACTCTACACTGCCCAAAACTCGTGTTTGAATCATCAGTGGCAAATTATTTAAATATGAAAACATACTTACAGACATGCCAGACTGTCCTTGCAAAGTTGGAATTGCCTCACTTTATAGAAACAGACACCGGCATTATAGGTTACTCTCCCAGGAAACAGTCCTCGTCCTTCGCAAAATGGGCTGCACACATCTGAATATTTGAGTTGAACTGTTCCGGAACAGTGTTATAAATACAACTTAACCACTGATTTCTAGTTGTGTCCTCTTTTGGAAGGCCAAACAAAGTAGTTTCGCTTTCACAACGAAACACACAGCATCTCCACGACATGGCGCCGGTGGCAACAGCGAGAATAAAAGTTACACCTTCTTTCTTTGCGTGAACATTTGGGCGGCGTTATGCAAATCTTCCCACATAGTGATGTAGACATGTGGGGGCGTGTTAGAACGAGCCGTTTTAGGTAGGCGTGGTTGACTCTTAACTTTTATAAAGAATATCTCTTTGGATTTGAGACTTAATCTTTGCAACTTTACAGATCTTCTTTATGCACCAAGAGCTTGTAACACTCCAAAGAGAAAGGAAAAATTTTAATTGCATCATAAGACCCCTTTAAGTGTAATGTACCCTGTTTCCCTCTCAAATTAAATATCCCACTTGTAGAAATGTACTGTCCTGTTTAACATAGTTTTTTTATTTCCTCAGATTGTGTTTTCTGTTGTCATATTCCTGAAGCTGTGACTCGATTGGTCATCTCTGCTCTGGTGGGCATGGCTGCTGCTTTTATTGTAGTGTATGACGTCACATCCAGAAAAGGTGAACAGGAGAGATGGCAGCACTCGTCATCATTAGAACCTCCCAGATGAATCATGTTTTCTCAAATTGTGTCCACTGTTTGTCAGGACACCTTTGTGTGCATTTTTTGAAAGGGGCAAGTGAAAGAGAATTTTACTTGCCCGACAGGACAACTAATCTGATTAATAAATCTTCTTACAAGATCACATACTAATGCTGCTCAATGTCGATTAGCAATGGATTATAAATGTACTTTATTATTATGAAAAAGCACAAGATGGCATGAAGAACAAAGATAAACCATATATTGTCACAGTCATGGGATTATTGTCCTACGATTAATCAGTTCAAGCATTTCTATCTTCTTTTTATACAGCTACAGCGATAGCGATGCCTTTGTCCATTTTAGGGATTTCCTGGAGGATGAGTTCTATTACTTCTGTGATGCATATGTGGATTTTCTGCACAAGGGTGCCCTCTGGCTTCCAGTATGAATAAAACAGACATTACATGTGCTTAGGGCTAAGTAATGTGCACTCAGTCCTATTATGGGCATAAATAGGAAAAATAATATTTTTCTCTAAAGAAATTTGAAGTAAAAATATGATAATACATGTTTTCTCCAGTGTATAGAAGTGTACAGGAGTTGGTTTTCCCAGTGGATTTATAATATTGGATGTATATATTTCATATTAAAGATTTGACGTACTTAGTGATAAAAATGTAGAATTACTGGGATTTTTATCATAACTGTATCATATGATGAACAGTTATAGGCTGCCTGTATGTTAACTAGTAACCCTGCAGTTTTTTTGTAAAACAATTTTCTGTAAAATAAAATTAGTATTGTTATCTTGTCATTCATTTTTATCTAATTATTATATTGTTTTTTGTTCATTTGTTTTAAAAATCGTAATTTAAATTACAAATTGTAATTTTAACCAAAAAAATTGCATTTAGGCCAAATCACACCTGTCAGTGCTTTCCCTGTCAGAGTCATATGTGAGCAGGAGTTCAGCATTCAATTTAATTTCTTGCCATAGTGCAGCCATCTGTCACACAGAATTTTTGAGAAAATGCTTCTGTGAGTTTAATTTAAGTTACTAAAACAATAACCTTATTCTTCTTGTAAAAGCGGGCGCAGTCATTTGTAAATTCTATGGGTCTGGTTTCAGGTCCAGCTATTTTTACCTATTCAAAACAGCTATAGTTTTGCTGCTTGATGTTGAAAATTGGTGTGTCTTACCATATTATTTTAATGTATTATCTTAATTATGAACACAGTGGTTTGTAGTGCAAACAGTTTTACCGTTTACTGCACGTTGTTATTCTTCTCGTTATTTCCCTACAGCGGCTAAAGAACCAGAAGTCTCACCCATGGGCTTACTTCCGCGTTGAAGAATAAGATGGATAGCATTGTTGTATTAAATTTCAAATATTTTACTTAAAAGATTCCTCATGAATCTTAAGCTTATACAGTTATTTGTAATACGTGGTGGAAAAAAGTTTCAATTTCAGCTACTTTTTGGTAGTAACTTGTAGTGTAACTAGCTACTTTTTCAGAAGGGTAGCTTAACTACTGTACTTTTAACTTATGAGTAGCTTGTAGCTTATCAAGCTACAGTTTCAGAGTAGCTTCCCCAACACTGTATGCATAATCAATAAAGACAATTTTGAATTATCTGAGTGAGACATCATTGTTCTGACTGGACAAGCCTTCACCCAAACCCGGACTAGCAATAGAGTGCAGATTCACAAGATTTTACTTTTAAACATTTTAAACAAACAGAGTGCTGCTTTATGGAGTGAGTTATCAAACATTAGTTTTTTGCTTTGTCATTATGGGGTATAAAATATAGATTTTAAAAATTAATTGAAATTAATATTTAGAATAAAAATGAGATTCACAGTGGGGATAAAGCAAGAGCTCAGTCAAGGTCAAAAGGATGGCATAGCTAGGCTACAGAACGCGCTGTTTAATGCTTTTGAGAGATGGTTTCTCCATAACAGCCTATCTATTCATGTCATGCGGCCATTTCATCAAAATGGGTGGTGGCCATGTTAGGGACTTTCTAGGTAGGCCTAATTAGGGTGTTACACTCTCGGAGTTTTCCTCTATTTATGGGCTTGTTTTTTGCGCATGTGTCTTTCGTTACGTTTCGCTATGCGCATGTTTCTTATAGTCGAAGCCTTCAGATACGAGCGGAGGATTCAGCCATTTTAGATACTGGGCTGCGCTTCTTGCTTTTCTTGAAAATAATAAGCATTGTAGCCCTGTCTCTTTCAGCGTATTAGAACTCAGCAATATAATTCAGATATAAATCTTCATCAGTGTGTTAAAGTCTTTATGTAGCCCAAGTCGCGTTTTCTCTCTGTTAGTCGGTTCAGGGTGCGGCTCAGAAATAGAGCGCTGACAAACAGAGAACAGAGGACATTCATAACATTATAACTACGAATCATTTATTTACTCAACTCTACATCAAGATGAACAAGGCACTTGTACTCTTTCTTTTCCCATTATTCGTGATTGGTAAGTTTGTTTTTGTTTTGTTTTTTAACCTAACTGCAGCACTTTCACTTTCGTTTTTCCAACCTAAAATTCGTATTTTTCTTTTTTTTTCTGTTTTCTTGTCGGAAATTCTAAATATAATTACTGTGGCCACTTTCAGTAAGGCGTACAGCACCTTTCTGGTTACTGACTACATTTTAGTCATAGTAGCATTTATAGTAGACGCAAGCAGTCCATACAGTGTGCATTGGTGTCCATTGAATTGAAGTAAAACTCAAAGATACTTAACATTTATATACCTATATTTGTAGTTAATTGTAGATAATAGGCTAGTGTTTCATCGTATTTATGTGTGTTTCTTTGCAGTATTTATTTTGGAATCTTGTTTGTTGCTGTAATTAAGAGTCAGCGGAATTGAGATCCATTTGTGTTTTTATTAAAAGCAACAGCAGTAATACAAACAGCCAAGGGTCATTCTCCAACAATAACAATGGCCAAGGTAAAACAGGGTCATAGTCAAAACAAACAAACAAACAAAAAAAGACCAGAGGGTGAGGGCAGGCAGCAAACAATCACAAATAGAATTCAGGCAAATGAGGTATAAATCAATAGGCAGCCAGCAAGTATCAAAACAAAGTAAAGAGTAATACAAGGTAATACACAGGCATGGCAATGGAAACAAACAGCACGTTCAGAAATGTTAGCCAGGGTAAAAGAAGACTTTGCGATGAGATGGCGTGTGCACTGCTTAAATAGTACAGGGAATAGAGAACAGGTGAATGTGGCAGTCAGTTCGAGGTACAGGGATCATGGGAAATAGGGTCCAGGATAATAAAGTCAATACTCAGATGAAGGAGCCCTCTGCTGGCAATTGGGAGGAACCACAGAGGCTAGATTCATGACAGTTGCTGCAGGCTATATTTTTATACAGCAATTCACATGAGCTTTATTAGTAAGGCTTAATAATATCATATTATAGTTTAATTACTATGTCGGTTTGTTCTCCAGGTGTGTTTGGTGAGTCAGTGTCAGTGAAGGAGGGAGATTCTGTCACTCTACACACTGATGTTACTGATGTACAGACAGATGATGTGATAGAGTGGAGGTTTCACGGAGTTCTCATTGCTAGAGTCAATAGTGAGTCCAATAAAGTCTCAAAATGGGTTCCTAAAGGAGCGTTCAGAGACAGACTGCAGCTGGACATTCCGACTGGAGATCTCAAAATTACAAATATCAGAAACGCAGACATTGGACAATATACACTAAAGATTACCAGCACAGAATCATCATCAAAGATATTCAACATCAGTGAGTGCCTCAGTTTTTACATCTAATAATGTTATTTACATAATTTTTACTCACTGAACAAATTAATTTCAGTGACATTTTAATTGTTAAGCATGCACTGGCAAACTGGCATTTATAGATCGTCTTTAAACATTTACAAAAATGTAAACAGACTGCATAAATTAAATTCAGACTGCAGAAAGTCACCTGATGCAAGATCCGGTGATATTCTGTAAATCTGTTTAGTGACAGTGTTATGAAAATGATAACTGACTGAAAAACTTTGTGTTTCAGCTGTGTCTGATACTGGGTCTGATGGAGTGACGGTTGTGTCAGTGACAGAGGGAGATTCTGTTGTCCTACACACTGATATTCCTGAAATACAGAAAGATGATGAGATACTATGGAGATTTAGAGATAAAGATGTTATTGCTAAAATTAAGAAAGATGAACACATCTTCTCTATATTTGATAATAGTGCTGATGGGATATTCAGAAGCAGACTGCAGCTGAATCCTCAGACTGGAGATATCATTATCAGTGACATCAGAAACAGCACTTCTGGACTTTATAAAGTTGATTTCAAGAAGAGCAGCTACACCACACACAAGTCATTCAATGTGACTATCAGTGGTGAGTTGGTTCATGTAATGTAATAAATGTAATAATGTAATTAAATGTAATAATGGTCATAATCAAATCATCACTGTAAAGAATTTAATTACTTTGAAATTAAAATATTTACACTAAAATGTCAAGGCAAAAAAAAAAGATAGGTGTTTGGAACAGATAAGACATTTGTATAGGAATTTTATTATTATTAATCATATCTGTGAATCTCCTCGTGTATATTTTATCCTGAGACAGATAAACTGAACAGAGTGCACGTGAAGGAGGGAGTTTCTGTCATTCTGGAATCTGGTCTTACTAAATTAGAAGGAGATGATCTGTTACAATGGAGATTTGAACATGAAGACCATGCCATAGCAAAAATCAACAAAACAGCTTCATCATCCTCTACATTTGATGTTGCTGATGGAAGATTCAAAGGCAGACTGGAGCTGGATGATCAAACTGGATCTCTGACCATAAGAAAGATCACAGCTGAACATGCTGGACTCTATCACCTCGATATCACCGGCAGCAGCCACACCATATTCAAGAAATTCATGGTTTTTGTCTGTGGTGAGTATATCAAGTGTTTAAATGAAATAATATGTGTTTACAATAGCACTGCGTTGTGTATATATTGAAGAGCAGGCAAAAGCACGCACATCGATCTCAACTGGGTGCTCGACCAAAAAACAAGTAGAAATATTTTAGACGCGAAGTCGGCAACACCAAAGCTCCAAAAGTATCAAAAAAATTTATTTTTTAAAAAGACTGTCACATAGCATATGTGACGTTTCGAGAAAAAAAAAAAAAAAAAATATATATATATATATATGTGTATATATTGCAATATATATTTAAAGGCCCTAAGTGATACCACTTAAATGCTCCAAGCATACACAAACACACTTAGATATAAGTATCAAAATAACAGGAATTGTTCATTTAAGCAGCAACTCAATAAGGAGACCAAAATAATACGCTTTCGGGAGAGAGAATAACTTAAACAAAAACATACTGTAAGTAGCCTTCTAACTACAATAAAATTTTGTAACCTTCCACAAAAAAAATAAATAAAATACAAACAACAAAAAGCTTCCCTCCCTAGCTGAGCACTCTTCTCCTTGAATGGGAGGTTTGTCAAACCCAAGAAAGCAGGGTAAGTCAAGCCCGTTTCTGAAACAGAGGTAACTTATGCTCGGAGTCAGTTACCATGGTAACTTACTCTGTGAACCTAACCTGGACATGAGCAGGTTTTCTTCAGTAAACCTAGAGTTTATTTCGGTCTCCTCCCCCTTTTTAAAGCATAAGCGATGTTTAAATACCGCATTCGTTTATTCACGCTGCAAAAATGCTTTTCTTAGACCCCGTTTCCCTTATCATCTGCAGATTTTTTAAGAATATTACTAATATTTTGCTCTCCACTCTCTCTTAGTGCATTCTTTAAAATTTCTCTCTCTGAATCATACTTCTGGCAATGCAATAAAACATGGTCTACTGTTTCACAATATTCACACTTTCCATTATTATGCTTTCCAATCATGCATAGAGAACTATTTAGACCAGTGTGACCATTCCTTATTCTTGTTATAACCTTCCCCTCTTTCCTATTTCGTCCTCCAGTTCCTATCTTTCCAACTAATGGAATATTTTTAAACAGATATCTCCCTTTGGTTTCTTTGTTCCATTGATTTTGCCACATCTTTTTGATCTGTCCCTTTATCACCACCTTAGCTTCTGACTTGCTAATATTTATATGCATGTGCTTATTTCCACTCTTCAAAGCACATTTTGCTGCTTTATCTGCCTTTTCATTCCCATCAATTCCAACATGTGCAGGGACCCACACAAACCTAACAGACAGATGTATTTGATGAATTCTGAATAATGATTGTAGTATTTCATACAATAAGTCCTCTCAACACCTGGAGTTGTAACATTTTAAACTCATTAATGCTGCACATAAATCTGATGCAATTACCACTCTCTCTGGCCTGACATCCTCTACCCATTGCAAAGCAATAATCATAGCCATCATTTCACATGCATATACAGATATATCATCGGCAATCCTCTTTCCACACTCAACATTAAACTCAGGGATTACTACTGCTGCTGCTGCTCTACCTGTTTTAGGATCTTTAGAACCATCAGTATAAATCTGTAAATGACCGTAGTAATTTCCTCTGATGTATGAATTAAAGATCTTATAATTTCCCCCATATTCATCTCTCATCAGTTCAAGGAGGCTAAAATCTATCTCTGGCTGTGGTAAAAACCAAGGAGGTATACTCACTTAAAATAGTTGGGTTAAAAATGACCCAACAGATAACCCAATGGTGGGTTACTATAGCACCTACCTAATGATGGGTTATTTTAACCCAATGGATTGGGTAGCAAGTTAGTAACCCAATGCATTGGGTTAAAAAATAACTAATTTGTTGGATTATTTGGACAACTTTTTTTTTTGCTTTAACCATCCTGGTATTATTATTATTATTATTATTAGTAGTAGTAGTAGTAGTATTGCTATGTAAATCAATAATAATACACAGCATACAAATATTCTGAAAACACTTGATTTCTATTACATTTAAAGTTGCAAAAACCTTTATTAAATTAAATAACTGGTTGAAATTGTCTTATTAATCACTTCCTTATCACATTAGGTTGCTTGCAATTGTTTTGCAATTTGTTTACAAGATAAATATAAATTCACAAATAAACAAACAAACAGAACAAAGCTAGTACAGACCGTGTAATTACAGCTGAAACAGGCTTGGGATATGCAATGTTCAAAATGTAAAATAATCTAAACCATGTATCAACTGCTTGTAAAAAAGACGGTCTTGCTTCAGTGTCATTTCTCCCACAATGATGAAGGATGGATTGTATCCCAAAACTGTAGGACATGAGGGTATCGCCTTTGTTGCTCCTCCTCCTCTTCCAAATACAGAATTAAATTGGTTCCAACCTTTAAACAGAAATTTAAAATGGCTAATATGCATATATACATTGGATGAAATATTACCCAAAAATGTATTGTCATAAAAGATGCACTTACCCACTTTGTATGGCAATGGAGGAGGATGTCGGGGTTTTAATGCAATCTCCAAGACCATCTTAAATAGAAAGAACAATAGATTAATCACTGAACAAGAATTGGGGGAAAAAATGAAAAAAAAAATCAAATGTTTTCTAAGCCATGGTAGCAGTCTTTCATTTGACTTCTTACTGATGTAATAATGGATTCATATCTGTTATATTAGCCGAGTGTTACAAGAGTGGTGTTTGTATCATT